CCTGTACATAGGAGTGGGTGGGTGGATGTATTTAACCGGAGAATTATTGTCCCCTGCTTCCGTAGGTCTCCCTGTAGTATTTACATGTACCCACCATACAAGAGGACATTTTGCCTTATTCCCATTATGTAAACATAGTTTGCTTTGTTTTGCCAATGCAGTGTATGAGTCTGGGCATGCATTTTATTTTATTCTTTGCTAAATACACAATGTTTTATCTAGCTCAAGGAAGAACCTCAAAGATGTAGCCTCTTTCCCCTTTGCTACAATTTAATTAGCACACGCCAGAGGGAAGATATATCATCCCACTGCAGAGTTATTCTGCAGTGTCTCAGGGGGTGGGGGTGGACGTATGCACAGGTCCCACCCTACAAGAGCAAGGTGGAAAGGAAAGGGAAAGCAGGGGAGAGGCAACAAATGGCATGAATCATCCCCAGAGGAAAGTTCATCCTGTCAAGCAACCCCCGCCCCACCAGATTGCTTATTGGGCTGTCTGAAAGAGAGAAATAGGATACACTCCCTAATCAAGGTATTGGCATGGTTTACACATTGAGTTTGTAGAAACAAGGGGGGGGAGAGCCACTTTGCACTTTACGTGGTAGCACCCTGAATATATTTGACAGGCAACTGTACAAATAGTCCTCATTTTCTCACGTACACCTGTATCTGTATGTCCACTCTGGTGAAACGAGGCTCTTGAAACGACTCTTTTAAATTATGTTTCAGTGGTCCAATAAAGGTAGAGCTCAACCCTATTCTGGATGTTGCTGATAGGTCACACAAGACTGGGATCTGTTATGACACACATTTGGAAAAATGCATTAGTTATAGCTGCATGTTGCATTTTTCGGGGGGCACACATAGTCTATGAAAGTGCCCTGTACCATCACACTCCTCTACAAGGGTTTTAGAAGAATCTGGTGTCTCTGTGTTAATTGTTTGACCTCTCCTGTTTCTTTTAACATTCCTTATGGCTAGGGCAGATTTTGATCATTGAGGCAAATCTTCTATGAGATTCAACAGTTCTCAGCCTTTTGACCTTATGGATATTTTCGGCTACAACTCCCACAAGTCCGTATCATTCCCCATGTTGGACGGGGCTCCAGAGAGGCATTCCACCAAGCTAGTTTAAGAGCTAGCTTGGTGGGATGTCTGGAGATCCAAAATGTCTGGAGACCCAAAGGCTGAGAGCTACTGCTTGATCAATAAAGAAACAGGCAGATCACTAGCATTGCTGCCACTAAGGTCACCTTTAATAAGATGACGTTAGTTAACAATAGCAACAATGATTTTGCAAGAGTTGCAATACTCAGTTGGTTACTTAATTAGAACATTTTGAACTATTGAAAAGGCAGTAGGGTTTTTTTTTAAAAAAATTAAAATGTTAAAATTTAAAAACACATAGTAATATCAAAAGAAACATCCTTTCTGGTACAGTGGACCCTCGACTTACAGACGGCTCGACTTACAGACTTTTCGAGTTATAGCCTTCTCTGGCTGCAAAATTTAGATTCAACTTGCAGCCAGAGAATCGACTTACAGACCAGAAAAAAACCAAAATGGAACAAAAATAGAATAAAAACTGCCAGTTATGGGATTAATCGGTTTTCAATGTATTGTAGGTCAATGGAGATTCGACTTACAGACTTTTCGACTTGCAGCCACCGTTCCAATACAGATTAATTCCGTAAGTAGAGGGTCCACTGTACATCAGAGAAGGACCCTGCAAGGTGGTAAAGTTGATGCAACATCCGTTCTGTGATAAAGCTTTCTGAAAGTATGTGAATCTTAGGACGCTGGTTCTGCCTCAAAAGTGGCCCCTTGTCTACAATCCAAAGTTGTTGGTTTTCACCTTGAAAGTCTGTAACAGTCTGGGGTCAAGGACTACCTACACTAGTACAGAAAGAAGATAACTCATGGAGTCCTCCCTTGTACACCAATGACGAATGGTGGTTCAACTGGAGGGAATGAGAGACAGCACTTATCCAGTGGTGGCACCTCTATGACCATCAGTCCTGGGAGAGATGACAAAATTTGTTGTCTTTCGAGTAAAATCTAAAGTATATTTTAATTGACCCTGTTTTTCATTTTGGCTGGCTAAAAAAAGAGAGAACGAAATCGTAATATTACTGTTTACCCATACAGGAATAGTAGTACGATTGCTATTTGTAATATTCTTATCTTTAAAACTGATGCCACTAGACAGTGCACACCATTTGGGGGAAAACAACCCATTTTGAAATACCTAATTTCAAAACAGTTAGAAATAAATAGTAAGAGATGGATGCACCATGTAAAATGACTCCTCAAGCATCTTTTTTGGTGGTAATGCAGAGTACAGAATAAATGAATAAATACATAAATAATACAAATAATAAAAAGGAAGTATGTGTTCTTCCTTAGAAATTTTGCTTCCTTTCTAAGGCACATGGAATGAATTAATTCCCATGCAGATTATTGTGCCAAGGGTAACAGAATCAGGCAGTAGTACAATTTGTTACGTTTTTCACCCTGTCCATCCTCCAAACATCCAGGGTAGATTGCACAGACCTTCTCATGTCTCATTCTCAAAACGTTTCTGTAAGGGAGGACCAAACTATAATACCTATTCCCAGGTAAACTTCATGACTAGAGTGGCTGGATGAAAAAAAGAATGCAGGGTTCCTGTACCGTCGCTAGTTGCCAAGCAGAGGAAATTTCAGAAGGCAGAGCTTTAGAGCAAGCTACATTTGCATTAACTTCCTCCTGCACGCAGCTACAACAGAGTTACTGTTCAGGTCTTAACTATATTCAAGACTTAATGCCGGGGTTCTCAGATCACCTACATTCCATTTAGGGCCAAAACCTAAGGGCGTAAAGACAGGTCCATGTGATGTAACAGAGGTAGATTAAGCCAGGGGGTATTTCCATCCCCCTAAACTTTGCCCTGTTGCCAAAGCTTGTGCAAAAAGATGGTTCACAAGTCACAATGCTGGTGCTCCACTCTTCACTCTGCTCCAAATGGCACAGAGAGACCAATGTTAACAAGTCAAAAAGCGAGGGGAGGGGACTAAGAAGTGGGTTGGTAGGTGCATGCTCTCAGGCCCTCTTAGAGATCTGGATCAGTACATCTGCCCAGGTGAGTCCTGGAATCAACTGGGAACAAGTAGAGACAATTGTTCATGCTTCAAAATCATATTTCATAGGCAAAAAAATAAATAAATCACACTGTCTCCTCTAGTGCTGCTCATTCCAATATTTGTCACCCTACCTGGAGAACCAGAATAACAATTCCCTAAGGCTTCAGCTGGTGCAACCAACTACCCATTTTCAGTTCACCAACACACCCTGGTTGAATCACTATATCCCGTTGATTTGTTCTGCACTTTTCTGATGGGAATTGACCTTCCACTTTTGATTCTGAGTATTCATAGGAGCCTGAACATTGAAACAGAGAGCAGGTAAGGAGGTAAATAGGCAGAGCAGAAGCCTTCTGGCACATCAGCATCCAGGGCACATTGCACCATACAGGAGGTTTCTGGAACACCAGCCACCCTGAACTCACCCTATCTCACCAGATTTTGGAAGCTTAACACGGTATGGCCTGATTAATACTTTGATGGGCAGCCACAACATTTTTTTAACCAAACACCTCCAAATAATTCCAAGGAAGATTGCTGCCTGAAATCCTGGAGAACTTCTGCAAGTTAAATTTGACAAGACTGGGATAGATGGACCAATGATGTGAGTCACGGTAAGGCAGCTTCACATATTTCCATGTTATGTTCCACGCAATTCCCCTCCAAGCCGAGAATGAAGAACAGACCCACCAACAATTACTACTCAATTGTGCACAGAGCATTACCTACCTTAACCCTACCCTTCGCCACCTCCCACAAAGGGCAGATTAGCTATGGTAAGGTTGGCTGGGTATCAAATAATACTGCTTAAGGGGATTAAACATGTTCAGGAAGAGAGTTTGTATGTAGTTCATTTGTGCGTGCATAGGGAGGGACAATAACCCAACTTAAAGCATTCCACACAAGTACATCAAAACAACCCATTTCGACTAGTCCATTAAACAAAGTCTAGCATGACCCTTCCACCCTAGTTCATGTCCCGGCCCATCGATCATCTTCATTGAAGTTTGTGCAAATTCTCTCATCAATCCATTTCAACTTCATTTTTTTCTTCAAGCTTGGGAGGATTCAGACAACCAAGGTAGGGTAGTCACCACCGGGTAAATGTTGTTCCTAGTGGCAACTTATCCTGACAACATCACGGTGCATTATGGCCAAAACATAATGGCTGGCTCCATTCTGGGAATCTGACCCGGTTGAGCTGCACACTCAACATTTAAGGCCACTTCATACAAGCTTATAACATTGACGTGTGGGATAACAAGCCTGGCCCGGTTGAGCTGCACACTCAACGTTTAAGGCCACTTCATACAAGCTTATAACACCACCTCATTCCTTCTCACTCAGAGACCTTGCAGCTGACCATGGGAAGATGCTGAAGAGCCATTTTCTATTGAGAGGATGAGTGGCAATACACAAGCCCTGAAGGTGGGCTCTGATTGCTGGTGGGTCATTCATTCATCCATATATGTGACCACTTGAAGTTCCAAACATGGACTTGTGAACCAAGTGCAAATCCACCGCTTTTCTGAACATGTATCCCAAGGGCCTCTGTATCCAATATTGCACCTCCTAGTGGGCTTAAACATCTCATATACCTTGAAAACCCTTGCAGTGTCACCAGAAGTCAGAAGCAACAGTATAGCACATCACCCACACAGTGGGCTTAATTGCTTACTTGTCTGAATCCACCCTGCATGGACTGATGAGATGATCAGTGTAGGCAACCTTGGAAATACAGGTCCCCCCCATAGATATTGGTACACGACTTAAAAAAAGAAGAAGCCTGACCTACTCTTGCTTTTCTGTTCCTATCGACCCTGCAGCCTCTAATAAATCACATTGATTCATGGTCTATGCACATATCATTGTCTTTATTACCTTGCTTCTGCTGCCAGGGCCACCGATGGCTAATTCGTGGGCAAGCTCTCGTGACGATTCTTTAAGGTACCACCACTGGATTTCCAGGGAGTAAGAGGTGGATCCACTGGCCCGAAAAGCACAAGGCATCTCAATATCATCTCCCTCCCTAACAGTCACATCTTTAGGAACTTCGGTAAATGTAGCTGAAGATGAAAAGAACGACAAAAGAGGAGAGGGTGGCATAGAGAAGAGTTCTTGATGCTGTTTTTAAAGACATAATCAGGCTGGTTTTTTTACAATCTGAAAAGCAAGGCAAAACATTGCAGGCTTGCAGACGTTTGCGTGTGTGTGTGTGTGTGTGTGTGTGTGTGTTCACGTGCATACATGTGTGGAGAGTTTTTCAGCCTCCTTGAATTATCAGACACAAATCAAATAGTGCACACCACCCACAGAATTAAAGAACCACGGAAATGTGGAGGCCATCTAGACGAGCTGCACCCTACATCAACACCCTTCACCAATTCATTCATAAAATCTAAATCAAGGGCTGTCCAACAGCAAGGGGGAGGGAAACCAAGGTGCACTAAGCATCTCTCCCCTATGAAAGAGGAAATGGGAATCCCCACCCCCCCCCCCTGGCACCTGCCCCCCCCCACCCCCCACCCCAAAAACAAAAGGAAAAAAAGAGCCCAAAAGTTTTCAGAATTGATGCTGTAACCCCAAACATAAAGTCTGCAAGGAGGCATCCGTGTTCTCAGGACCATCACGGCTTGGACACATTTCCAAGGGCTATGCATTTAGGAGCGTGATGCCGGACCCCCCCCCCCCAAAAACCCACCCTTTTCCAACCTTCCCACTTAACCTTCCCGCTTGCTTTGGATTCTGATTCTCTGCAGCAGAGTGCAGGCACTCCCTCCGTCCCTGCAGCCCCGGCAATGCACTCTGCATGCATCCGCTCGCTTCAGGATCCAGACCTCTGCATTTGCAACAGTCCGGGCTCCCTTGCGTTTCCTGAAACAAGCCATTTACAGAGGGACCCAGACAGGGGAGCCTCTCAGCCAAATATAAGTAAATGCAAATGTTTTGGAACAACACCACCCACCATATGAGGGATAGCAGTCTTGGGTCTACCGATGGCTTTTAAGCCATCAAAGCTGCAAACACATCTTTTCCAAAGCATTTTTTGGGCAGTAGGAGAATGCTCTTCCACTAAAACCCCACGAACGTATACATATATGACACCGGCTAGTAGCTGTGAATCGGCTGCTTTATTTGCCCAAGAGAAAGGAGGAGATCAGAAGTTTGGGACTTACCCTGTACCATGAACACCAAGGGGGCATTAAGCATCAGGTAACAAAGGGCACCGAACAGCCCTCGCTTTTCCATCTCATATATGTCGGCTTTTGAGTGCAGGGCAAGGAGAGAAGCCGGTGGAAAGGCTGGTCAGAGCCACCCAGGCTAAGAAATCTTCAATCCCATGGCAGAGGCAAGAGAGGGAGGGATGACTGGATGCTGGTCCAGGGTGAGGATGACTGAAGAAAAGGAAAACTGGAATTTTTTTTTTAAAAATATATAATGATGTTACCCCAAGCCACCCAGCGCAATGATGTTCTTCGCCTCTCTCAAATCCTCTTCTTTCCTCCTCCTTTTTTTTTTCCTTTTCCTTTTCGGAAGCACCTATAAAATCCACAGGCAGTTGGTCCAGAGGAATTGCTGTCGCGATGGTGGGAACAAGAGGGTTTGGAAAAAGGAAAGAAAAGAGGATCCTGAGAACGGAATGGCAGATTTGCCGGGTTGACGACGATAACTGTTGCTCTTCCTCTTATTATTTTTTTTATTCTTCTTATCAATTATGATGAATTTCCCCTCCTCCTCCTCCTCCTCCTCCTCTCTGGATTCTGCGGCAAGCGGTGCTCAACTTCCTTGAGGGCAACGGGATTCTTGGGGGTCCAAAAGCGACGAGGGGGTCGGAGGCTTCCTTCCGAAACCCATCTGGTCTCGGATCTCTCCCAGCGAGCGCCAAGGAAGCCCCGAGCAGGCTGGCCCCTTTTCTCCTCCTCCTCCTCCTCCTTCTCCTCGGTGCGCTTTCTTTTTTTCCCTGCTCCCCGAGCCCTTTTTCGTCCTC